CGGCGACCACCGAGTTGTAGGAGCCGGCCAGCGGGCCCATGCTGCAGGCTCCGCCACCCGCCGGGCCGCCGGGCCCGCCCGGGCCCCCGGGGCCGTAGGCTCCCGCGCCCCCGGCCCCCGCGCCCCCGGCCGAGCCCCCGCCGCCGCCGTAAGCGTAGGCGCCTCCGACCAAGCAGCCCAGGCCGTATTCTCCGTCCTGCAGGCGCGAAGCGGGCCCCATGCAGCCGCCCTGGTCCGGGCTGTTGAGGATCTGGTCGATGCCGAAGCTGATGGGCTCCGCGTGGCCCGGGTGGAGGTGGTGCGGCCCCAGGTGCTCCATGCTGGCCCCGGCCCCGCGCGGGGGCCCGGGCGCTCGCCGCGCTCGACTAGCCGGCCAGCGAGCGGGGGCGCCGAGGCAACCGCGGCTCCAGGCTGCGCTGAGACTTGGAGGCGAAGTGCGCAGAAGGGCCAAAGTAGGGGGGAGGGGAGGGAGAGAGGGGAGCTTCTTCCCCTCTCCTCGGGCTTCTCCTTTCCTTCTCCGGCTGCTCGCTCTCTCGCTGTTGACTCTGGGACATCAATCACCGGGCGAAAAAGCCCTGAGCGAGCGAGCCTAGCTGCTTCGGCCGGGTCTCTCCATTGGCTGTGCGTGGAAAGGAGCGGGGTGAATGACAGCGCGGGGGAGGGGCAGGGAGGGGGAGAAGGAGGCCAGGAGCCCAGACAGATGCCGGAGCCAGAGGCAGAGGGACGGAGAGCAGGGCTCTGAGTAGTTCCAGCGAAGAGGAAGGATGAGAAACACAGCGAGAGGTTTAAAACGAGAAAGAAAAGAACGGGAAGCAGCCATTCCCAGAGACGGACAGACACACGGACCCAAGGAGAGGGAAATCAGAGCCCTTTCCCAGAGGGGCCTGGAAAGGAGTCCAGCCCACCAGGCCCCTGGGGACAGGTGTCCTGCCCAACTGGAGAATCTCCCTAAGGGCTGAGCTGGGAAACACCTGTCACTCAACCAAGCGATTTACTGCAACTTCAAGTCCAGCTTGTTAGAAAGTAGAAGACAGTCCACTCCCCAGGTATGGCGCCCAGGCCCCAGGCGGGGCGGTGAGTTCAGGCTTGCCCTTTAAAACAGGTCCTATGAACAACCGGCTATATAGTGTTATAAAAATTAGCAGCCATCCCAGCTCAGTCTCTTTAGAGAACTTTAAGGAAAGGGAAGCCATCATAAAAACCAGGCACAAGCCAAGGGGTCGGTTTGGAGCTTGTGCCATTCCTCGAGGTGCCCCTTTCGTTTGGAATAGACAGATGCTCTGAAAAGCCGTTCCTACGAAGTCTGAATGCACGCCGCTGGGTTTGCACTGGTTCCCACCTCCCGGCTAGCCCAGGGCTGCCTTTTCCAAAGGAGGCTTTGAACTCTTGCGAGGAACAGGAGTGATTTCGTTGCTTTTAGAATCTTTGCGGGGAGGCCTCCTGTCTTCAGGCTGTGGAGGCTGGGGCTGGTGGGACTAGGTTCAGGGAAGTGTGTCCACGACAAATTTAGGCCTTTTTCAAAGTGATGCCTGTGGCTGACTGGCTGAGAGCCCGAGAAAAGAAGGAAACTCCCTTCTTCTGCTTCCTCTCTTCACCCTCTCCAGCATGGAAGGTCTGTCCCCTCCTAGCAGCCAAGTTCTGGAAAGGAAAGCATGGGTTACACCTCCTGCTCTGTTTCAGGTCCTTCCGTGCTCGGCCTTCTGGAGGGTCTCTAACTGGGAGAGTGCTAGCTTGTGGCACTCTGTGCTCACCAAGTCTCCCCGTAATCTATTTGCTTTCGCTGCATCTGTCTGTCACCTTCCCTTGAACAGCCGTCCTCAGAGACAGGAAATGTCTTACATGTGTAATCCGCCCCCTCCCAGCTCAGCCCCAACAAATAAAATATGCTCATCTTGAATGACTAGTAAATTAATGGAGACTTACCCCACAAACATTTCTGTGCTCAAAATGTACCTGGCACTTTCTGGGCAGGGCAAAGCGACCTGACCTCAGAGGCCTTACAGTCAGACAACAAACAAAGAAGGGTAAATCAGAAGCCAGTATCACGGGGAACTATAGAAACCCGATGCCATCCCTTAGAAGCTGGCAGCTAGCTGGTAGTGAACACAAACAAAGCCGGCCTTTGCTCCTCACTCAGCCAATCCAGATGCTACCCCTTGACCCACAGGGTTCGGTTCCATAACTGACTTGGAAAGTTGTCTGAGGCTGACTGAGCTCTGCCTTCCTTTTATCCTGGGAGATCTAGAGAGAAAGCAGCAGGATTGTTAACTGAGAAGCAGCTATGTGTCAGATACCACAACTCACACTCATTTCAGACCCCAAGAAGCGGGTGGGTGTGGCTTGATAGTTACACCAAATAAAGCTGCTTGACTGTCCGTTGCAGTGGTGTTCCTTACGGCTGGAAAGTGTGTACCATTCCATTTGTACGTCAATCGATGAGCAGATAAACAGAAAAGGGAGAACATCCACCCACCATAAGGGGGAAGTAAGTGCTGGCTCACACCACAACAAAGATGAGCCTTGAAGTACCCTGCTAAGTGAAATAAGCCGGGCATGAAAGGACACATAATATACAGATTGCTTATGTAAAGTGGCCGAGCTAGAGAATTCCATGGGACAGAGGTGGATTTGTGGTTACTGACATGAGAAGAAGGGGGAAAGGGGCTGTCACTGAGCACAAAGTTCCCTTCTGGAATGACTAAAACTTGCTAGAACCAGGTAGTGGTGACTGCAAAACTTCATGAATATTCTCAGTTGTGCACTTCAAAGTATGAAATGTGAGTTACATGTCATTAATTGTTTTAAGATTTATTGATTTAAGTGTGTGTGTAGGAATGTTTTTTGCCTGTATGTGTGTATGTGTACCATGTATGTGTCTGGTACCTCCAGAGGCCAGAAGAGGGCATCTGATTCTCTGGAACTGGAGTTATGTCTGGTTATGTGAGCTCTGTGAGCTACCATGTAGGTCTTAGAACTGAATCCTGGACAGAAGGGGAGTGCTTGGGGAACTCAACCCCTAGGAGTACTTCTATTTGAGGTTGAAAACCATGGCAGAAGGCTCTGGAGCATCCTTGAGGCTGGAGCCCAGTGGTCCTGCTCCTGTTAACCTAACCACAGTTCTGCCTGCCACAGTTACAACTGTCTTTCTTAGACATCTTCAAAGCAGCATCTTTTGTCACTCTGAGGCCCTTGAGGAAACCACCTGTTCTTCTCCACACTTCGCCCTCCCTCTCCCATCAGTGCTGTGCTTTCCTAGGCTCACAGCCTTCCTATCCCCACCTCTCCCAGCTCCTGACACCTGCTGGCCCACATCCTAAACCCTTCAGGTCTAGCACCACCTGTCCAGGATATCTGAGAGGACACTGCACCCTTCTTGGCCCATGCAGAGGTCACAACAACTCACTGAGATTGTGTGGCTAACAAAATCCAGGAGTGCCTTGGCTTTCTCCTGCCCTCCCAACCTTTCTGTTTCCTGAGTCACTTTTATCCCTATCCAGCCCTGGAAGGATGAAGGACTGTGAGTCCACTGTGTTGCCCCGGGGCAGCTGGGGAGGCCTGGTGCTTTTCTCTCAGCTCAGTCCCTGTCTAGGAAGATGAGACCAGAAGGTCTGGCTTTGTTGAGCTCTGGTCCCCGCTTCTAGCAGCAGCACTGCCACAGGAAACAGTGTTCCTTTGGTGCAGCAGCTGTGTTTCTGAAGCAGTTCTCTTACTTTACAGGGTAGTCCTGTTAAGGAAGAGGAGGGAGGAAGGGCGAGCAGGACTTACAGATCAGCTGAGATGGCCGGCTTCCCTCCACCACAGGAGTAACCTTCCCACCAACCCTCATTCTTCTATCTACCCTGAGCAAACCCAGGCACTGAATGCTGGGAAAAGGCAGATGGGCCCCAGCGCTACCCTTGTCACTTACTTCCCCATGCTAAACTTGACTCTTGCCTTGCATGATATCTAAGTGAGTTTCAGACCCTTCTCTCTAGCCCTCCTGAGGCCACCTGGCAATCATGCCCCTCAATACAATCTCCCTCTTACCTCCAATTAAAAGGGGAGCAGCTGGAACTGAGGCTGGGAGAGGAGGGAAAGAACCGGGAGTACCCAGAGGGAGTCCTCTTTGGATCTCACACAGCTTCCTCTGGGAGAGACCCCAGGGCCAGGGGTTGTCCTTTAGCTTAGGGATATGTATGGTGACTTAATTACTCTGTGTTTATGGGACTGTGTGGGAAAGTTGGACGCGAAAGTATAACAGCGAGGCCTGGACAGGGTGTGCAGATGTCCTGGCATGTCTTTAAGGGGTAATTTAAAATGTTTTCTTACATGAATATTTATCGCCTGTGATGGATCAGGCACTGGGTCGTGTTGGGATGCTACCAAAAGTGAAGCGTTGGCAAGACCCTTGCAAGGGAAAGAGGGACCCTGGGCTGTCTCTGCAGCCTCAGGAGGGTGTAGCAGGGAGCATGTCAGTGCTGTGGGTCCTGGAACAGAACTGGTGTGTGTCTGTCTCTACAACTGTCCTAGTAGTGAGCGAATGAGCGAGTGTAGTCTGGGGTCTGTGGGAGAGGGGTCTTATTTTCTGGCGTAGTTGTCAGGGAAAAGGCCACATGTGGACACAGAGTGGAACAGAGACAAGAGGCCTGCCTAAGGGGTGTTCTGTGGAGAGAGAGAAGTGGCTGAGAGGCTTGTGTAAAGGGCTGTGTCGTAGATGGCAGGGCTGTCGTGGTCAGAGTGGTCCCCTCTGCCTTAAGCAGGGACCAGGAAAGGTTTCTTTCCAGCAGACAGGAGCTGTCAGTCATTTGGGGACTTAGAGACACCGAGAGGGCTCTCTAGCCTAGTGGGCACGGGTGGCTGACAGTCTCTAGTACCTAGACTGGAAAAGGATAGAGTGGGCAGGACAGACTGCTCCAGCCAGAATGCAATGATTCTTCCTCAGCTTTGGGGGCGGGGCAGGGTTTCCAGGCCAATCCCATGAGCCCCCCACCCAATCCTAAAATGAGAGACTAACAGCCTGCCCAATATTAAGGACTGACACACATTTTGCCATCAGAGGAGGGACCTTGAATGGGCAGGGGGGAAAAAGAGGGGGGGACAGGCAGACTCCTCCATCTTCACTAGGTCACATGTCAGTTGCCACCTGAAATTAGGGCAATTTTCTTTTCTCCACTAGGCCCATCAAAGCTGGGCAGGTGGTGTTTTTGGAGTAAGTTCTTCCTTGCTGCCCCATTGACCCTTGGTGTCACACTCGTTTCTTGCCTTCCTTCCTTTCTAAGAGAGTCTCTGCAAATGCTTTGGATTCGCTATCCTTGCTGCTAATTCTCCTCCCAGGCTGCT